GTGAAAAGGAGTGGAAGAGCAGTTCATGCCTTCTGCAGGAACAGAGGCGTAGAGGGGAGATGATAGTTTTCTGGAGAGTAGATCCCATACACTTAAGGAGATGGAAACCTTGAGGTAATAGGAAAAATGGAAGGAGTAAAGCAGGAGAGAGAGAGACTGGCTTTAAATGTGGTTCTTATGAGCGTTTCCCAGAATGCTTCCTCAGCTGACATTCCTGTAGGACCCAGTCACCCTCTGCAGAACTTGCTATGCCACGTGAGAAAATGAAACAGATGACCTCTGGTTCTTGGAGAGGAAAATGGAATGATGCTGTTGCTGCTGAGGAATTGTGTGCTGGCTCTGAGAACTGGATTCTGATTCTTGTTACTGTTGTATGAGTCTAGAATGTCTGTCTGTTATAGATCTCTCATGGCACTTGAAAGTACAGTCAAAATCTGAGTGTGATGCTGTACCATGGTGAGCAATGCTGTTTTATGAGGATTATCATCCTTCCCCTTCCACAGCTGTGTTTTGGACTCCATTCAGTACGCCCACAGCTGTGTGAGTGTGGCTTCTTCCTCTTTCTTCATGTGGATCCAGAGCTGTGCCCAGGTTTGTTATAGCACATATTCATTAATAGACACTCTGATTAGCAGAGTGCATGTAGGGGCAGAAGTTGGCAAGTTCTTCAATTTTGCTATTGAAAGAAGATCAAAGAGGCAGAAAGATAACTTCATTTCAGCCAGAGCTTTCACAATCAAGAGGCAGGACATAGCAAAGTATTTATTGGATAACAATTGAAAAAGAAATGGCAGGAAGAGAAGTTTTCACTACATATAATGTCCCCAAAATCTTCACGTCTTTTCTGTGTGCTTTCCATTTGTCCATCTTGGTTTAATTGTCTTCATCTGGGCACTACTGGATGTGTCCAAGATTAAAAAAGTATTTTTTATTGCTGAGATCTTTTGGAAGCTTTCTACGCAGGAGAAAAGTTCCCTTCTTTCTCAGAAAGGTGTTTCCTACAGCTCAGAGTCGAAGCTCACTGAAAATGCATGCGTTTCTGCACCCCTTTCCAAGCAAAATATTATTAAATCTGTGGAACTTCTTTACGTCAGTTGGCATTTTTGTCACAATTACAGAATGTACTTTCAAACTGGCTGAAATGTGCGCTCAAGAATTAAAAAACCATCAAAACAACAAAACCAAAAACATGCTTTTTTAATATGCAAGCATGTAGGGAAAGTGTGGTAATTTGGCTCCGTTTGTTGAGTCTGGGCCAAATTCTGATGTCAGTTACGCTGGCCTCAGCTGAGTTGCTCCAGATTTGCACCAGCCTGACTGAAGGCAAACTGTGTACTTTTGTCCTTTGGTATCTCCCTGTTGGTATTAATGGTGCGGGGATGGTGGTGAGGGGAATAAGTTAAGTGCAAAGGTTTGCTGGAGTCCTGTCCTAAATCATAAATGCATAGTTTGAGAGTATTTTAAAAGTATACTGTATGTGTGTTCAGCCACTGCCTGCCTGGTGTAGCAGGTGAGGCGTTCCAAGGCTCTCTACACACTCTGTATCTGAATAGATATTATCTTTAGTGAGAACTGCAAAAAGCTGGCTCTAACATCAATGTGTTCCTATCAGCTGAGTCCCATGCAAGCTGTTAAAGCCTTTCCTGAACTGCCAGTAGCTGCCTTATTATAGACCGTGGATTAACACATCACTGGGCAGTGTATGCTTCTGAATGTATAATAGCTTTAATCTTCCCGGACATGTACAGCTTTTAGTTCTCCTCTTTAGAACTGTTGTCATCCAAGTGCAGTACTTATCTGAAAACTCATCAAATGCCGTGAATGAGTCTGCAGTTCTTAATGTGATTTTAGAATAATGGAATGGCTTGGGTTGGAAGGGACCTCAAGGATCATCCAGTTCCAACCCTACTGCTGCAGGAAGGGTTGCCAACCACTCAGTCACTGGATCAGGCTGCCCAGGGCCCCATTCAACCTGGCCTTGAATAGCTCCAGGGATGGAGTACCCATAGCTTCTCTGGGCAACCTATTCCATCACCTCTCCACCCTCTCAGTGAAAAACTTCCCTCTGACACCTACCCTCCTTTAGCTCAAAATTATTACCTTTTTTCCTGTCACTATCTACCCACATAAAAAGTTGATTTCCCTCCTGTTTATAATCTCCCTTTAAATATTGGAAGGCCATAATGAGGTCTCCCCTCAACCTTTTCTTCTCCAGACTGAACAAACCCAGCTCCCTCAGCCTGTCTTCACATGAGAGGTGCTCCAGACCTCTGACCATCTTCGTGGCCCTTCTCTGGACCCTCTCCAAAATCTCCACATCTTTCCTGTGTTGGGGGTCCCAGGCCTGGATGCAGTACTCCAGATAGGGCCTCACAAGGGCAGAGTAGAGAGGGACAATCCCCTCTCTCTCCCTGCTGACCATCCCTCTTCTGATGCAGCCCAAGATACTGTTGGCCTTCCAGGCTGCAAGCGCACACTTTATAAGGTACAGAATTTATAATGTCCTGTATGTAGGTTTTATTATACACCCATGCACATTCATAAAAGCGGTGCCAAGCTGTCAGTCCAGAATGTGTGTAATCTCTGTTATTTTGCATGAGTACTGTACTTACTGAAGGTAGCAGGAGAAAAATCCTTCACGTCTTTAAGCCTACACCAATGCTAAAGCATCTTAGAAATGTTCTCAGAGGTGGAAGCTCAATCACCTGCACCATGGCGCTACTGGTATTGTTCCTAGCATGCTGTTGGTCACCTAGCACTCTCCCAAACAATTCCTCAGTTTGATCAGCACTCTGGGTAGGTGTGACCTATCAAAAAAAGTAAAAACTGAGTGAGTTAATGGTATGACTGCAGGAGGCTCTTCTGCCCACGGTTCTTATTACTAAAGAACAGTCCCCTATGTGAGAAGAAAGTTGGATCTTATACTTCTAATATTCTTTACCGGTTTATACTTGCAAATTAAATACCACTAACATAGGTGTGCATGATTAAGTGTAAAACCAGTGTGGGATTTAAAAAAATTAAGCAAAAAAAACCAACAACAGCCATGATACTTCTTGTGAGATGTATCGAATGTCCTTGAATTCCTTATTCAAGATACTCAGCAAAAAGAGATTGGGCTTTGCAAAAGTAAATCTAGGATTTTAGAGAGATTACCCTGGTGACATATCCTTTTCATGGAAGGGATAATAATGTTGATGCACTACTTTGTCAGTCAAAGAAGATGATGAAAATGAGCTGCTACTGACCACAGCAAATGCAGAGGTATCTGCCTCTTTTCCTAAAGAGCTTACAATATAAGAATACCAGCAAACTTCGCTCAGAAGGAGGAAACATTGCACATCCTGTATGCATATTGTAAACCATTTCCTTTTTCTATACACCATAAACTTAGAGATGAAAGGGATACAAAAATTGGAGGGCAGAGTTGAAGACTTGAAAAGTATGGACTGGAGGCTGAGATGCTAATGAAAGGATTCAGCCAAGGGGGAGAGGAGGAGATGCAGGCAGAGTCGATTGAAAAAATGGCATTAATCCAACAGAAGTGTAACAGATGTGGCTGATGGAGGAAAGGAGATTAAATAGTTGAGCTGATCTAGTTAACGCTTCTTCATGATGGAAAAAGGGCAAGACTGAACTTCCAAAATCAACGAAGAGAAATGACATTAAGATGCAGCAGTTAATATGTAGGAAGGAAGAGTTGGATATTCTGAAGTTGGACTGCAAAGCAAATGGCAGTGTGGTCAGCTTTGGTAGAATGAGGCAATAGGTTTCACTGAAGGAGATGGTTAGGAGTTGGGTCATCTGGGTCTGCACTGTGTGGGAAATGTGGCAGCAGAAGTGTGAGGGCATGGGAAACAAAAGCAGTGGAAGAAAGACTTTATGTACAATTTTTGGTTTGAAACCAAGTGGGTTTCTAGAAGTATTCTGTACTCCAGGCCTGTGTGAAGATTGCCAGAAGATGAAGATAAGTGTCATGGACCATCATTTACCATTTACTTGCTACATTTACCATGTGCTTTCTAGTTTATGGGCAACAAAGATTTGCTGTCTGAGCCTTTTAGCAAACATCTTTCTTAGAGTGTATCAGCATCACAGAAGTCATCTTCAGAATTTTCATTTGCTGTTACATATATGTTACTATCATGCTGTAACTGTTATGAAATGGAGCATATGCTTTACTGGAAACTCTTAAGAACACTACAAAGAAAGAAATGCAACCCAGAACAGGATTCATTTCAGGATAAATCAACTGTGCATCTCATCAGATTTATCTTGAATCCAGAGAAATTGGAGAAACCAAGGCCCCAAGAATTTGCTCTTGAGTTAGCATAAAAGCCGTGAAAGAGGTGTCCCCAACCTTTTTACACATAAATTCCACAGTTATTTGATAAGCTCAAGAGTTTACCCTCAGCCGAGTCCTCAGTTTCCTTATTGTAATCTATTTACTTTCATATGATGTTTTCTTCTAAATGGCAAGCCCTACAGTTGGCTTTGTTGAAATAATCAGCTGTAAGGAAAGTTAGAAAATGAGATATATCTGCAGGGCTTTTCATCTTCCCAAGCAGTCTGGGGACTGAATGGAGGGACTTGGGACTGAAAGTCTGAGTTACTCTTGCCTGAGCATTTGTCCCTGATATTGGCACATAACTGTTTCTTTCTGTCTGTGCAGCACTGTGGGTTGGAGAATCCTGCCATAGCCTTCTAGGGGCAGGTGGCTGCAGTGAGGGTTCCCACTACAGATATTAATAGAGATGTAGATAGCTAGTGCTGTATTTGGGAATATGCTGGAATTGAGCCTATTCTACATTGACTTGAGGGTATCAGGACACATGTAGTTTGTGTTCATTTCATGTTAGCCATCACTCTATGTCACTCTTGTCTTGCTTCAGTTGTGCTCGGGCTTCATCTATGGTGTCAGAGGACAGAGACATTGTTTGCCTGTTTGCTGCAGACCTATTATTTATTTTGGGTATTTACATAACCTGCAGGACTGGTAACAAGCTCTGACTGCAGTTGCCCTGGAATGGACCGGTTCTGGTAAGGCAGTTGTTACTCTATCTCAGCCATTTAAGTCAAAAAAGGTCCCATCATCTGGAAGAGAAGAGAGAAGGTGCAGTACATAGCTCAGGCTATGGGCTGTGTTTAATCAGTGAGTTTTCCATGCAGAGCTGCTGCTGACTGGACATGGAAATGGTTAAAGCATATTTATTATAAATCAGTGGAAGCTTCCAACAAAACAAATGCCTCACAGACAAATAACACTGAACCTAATTAAAGCTAAACCAAAAAAATAAAACAAACAACAAAACAAGAGTAATTGATTTCTAATTGATTTAAATTTGTTGTATATATCAATTTGATTATAGTTGTAATGTATGTTTTAGCACCAGCAGCTGAGACTGTACATGTGCTTGGTGGACCTTGACTTAAAAAATTTGTGCAGTGTTAAGATTTTCTTCTTACTAGTGTATGATGGAGTGCACATACAGAGAGCTCTTCCCTGTCTCAAAACTTTATGGTCCAGCCAGTATCTGTGCTTGCGAGATGAGTAGAAGCATGCAGGTGAAATGGTCTGGTTTACTTTATAGGAAACTGTTGATTTGTGATGAGACAGCACTGTGATACTGGAGGCTGCTCACCATCATTGTCAAATACTAATTCCTGCAGCTTGGTAGAGGTTGATCTGGCCCTTACAGGCAGCTTTCCAAGGGCAGAGCTGGAATACTGTGAGTTTTTCTGGTAGCTGCTCCTAGAATTGCCTGGACCTCAGATTTCATCTAGGGAGCTGGCAAGTTCCCAAAGTGCTGATGTCCTCCATCCTTCAGTACTACTATCACCACCTTAGATGGGTTGTAATAATTTTATTCTTGGATTGATAACATTGTTTCTGCCATTTTTAAATTAAATTAAAGTACTAGCTTAAGAAGGGAAAGATTTTTTTTTTTCTGTGTTACCTACAGCTGATATCATGTAGCCTAGCAGAATTTGCTGTTGTCATGATGGACTGTAACACATGAAGCAATACTTGGAGTTCTGCCTCTCCATGACTTTTGAACTTCATCCCCTACTGCTGCCTCTTCTGTTCAGCCTTTTACTTGTCTTGCTTACTTAGATTAAAAATGGGCAGGGATGGCCTCTTGCTCTGTGAGAAATCCTGTTGTGTGAGTAACAAAACTGTATTTAATTTGATGCTATAGCCTCGATTTTTACCCTGCATGTCTCTACTGTGCTAAACAAAACGAAATCTTAATCTGTGTCAGAGCTAAGGTGCTACTAAAATAATAACTACAAAGGAGGAAAAAGAAAAGCATGAGAAAGTAATTTCCTTTTGTTTTCATTCTGTGCTGGATGCCTGTCTGTTTCTGTTGTTACGGATGTGCCTTACCCTCCTGCACAGTGTTTCCTCTTGAGCACTTTCCAAAGCACTGATTTTAGCTTTGACTGTGCCAACACAAACGTGGAGATGAGTGAAGTCATGACTGGGTTCCAGCTCAGGCTGATGGCATTAGGTTTTACCAGCCATATCCAGAGACAGAGGGATCAGAGCTGATTCTATCATGTACTGTGACCATCCTTGAGGACTGTTCTTTCTGCTGTTACTTTTTCTATGCATTCTCAAACAACAACAAAAAACAAACAAGCAAACAAACAAACAAAAAAAACCAACCCTGCTTGCATTATGAGAGAGATTCCTTATTAGTGAGCTTAATTTTCAAGAGTACCTCGGTGCTTCTTCAGTCTGAGCTGAGCCTTGGAGTGAGCTCCTGTAGGAACCAGAGTTCTATGGAGAAAACTCATATCCTAACTAATGGTAGGAAGAATTGTTGGCAATCTGGGGCAGTGTACCTAATTGGCAGAGCATAGACATCAACGGTGATGTGTTTTGTTGAATCACAGCTGTTTTGTTCTTCTAGGATCTTTCTAGAAGCAGTGCCTTAGGTGGATTTGTGGCAATATGCATGCAGGAAGAGGCAAGATCTTTGGATGCTGGCATCAGATGGCACCCCTATATATCCTCATAAATAGCAAACTGCTGCCTGTGGCAATCCTTGGAATGGAAAGTGTGGTACCCAGGGTATTCCTGCTCTGGCTGTTTCTTTAAATGCTCTCTTGCTTCAGTAGCTGATGCAAAGTGGTTCTGCCAAGTGTGCCTGTTCTCCAGAGCATCTCACGGATGCATTTTCTACGGCTTTATCTGGAAATTGTTGTTGAGCTACCATCGTGCTGACTCGTACAGACAGGCATGGTGCTTCTTTCCAAAAAAAACCCAACACTCTAGGAGAGCACGAAAGGGCAATGCTAGCTGATGGAATTCTGGCTATTCCACTCCTGTTGTTTGCTCACGAGTGCCCAGATTAGTAACAGGGGCTTTGGGGCTCTGACTTCAATCTCTGATGTGGCTTTTTTTTAGCATTCTTCTGAACATCTTCAGCATGTATTTCTAGTGATTACCTTTCATTCACTGGGGCTTTCACTAGAAATACCTGTTTGCATTGTGTGGGTATCTTTAAAATACTCTTTTTGGCACATACCTTTTTTTTGCAAGTAAATATTTCAAGTTACGGGTGAAACAAGAGTGCCTATCGAGTCTATCTTAATTTCTCATGTCTGCTCAAAGTTAGCCAATTGGTGACACTTTGAAAATTTAATCGAGTTGCTGGTGGTCTGGGATGCTAATTTGACGTTTTATGAAACCATTCCAAACATTCCTGATATTAAAGGGATTGTGTTTGGTAGAACACTGACAACAGGTGCCCTATTTTTGCCAGCCCTGATCTTAGACTGGCTGCCAACACGTAGTGCTTGCCAGCATACCACAGGTCTTGTGCTGGGCTATTTTAAAACTGTATTCTGTAGAAGAGCTGGGACACTTTTAAAATACCTATTGAAGTGTAATGGAAACAGCACGCCCCTAGAATATGCAGCACTGTAAAGTGGTTGGTGTAGGCTGAGCTCCTTGTAACTTGCTGCTACTTTGTAGGGCTAAAGAGTATATTCCCACCCTTATAAAACAAGTTGGTCAGCCAGGTACTCCATCCAGCGCTAAACTTTACCAGATGCTTCAGAGCAAGATGCTAAATCCTATTAAACAATTACATAGTGTTGTTACCTAGAGAAATTTCCTTCTGAATTCCTGGTGGTTAATGTTTGGCTTTCATCCTGGAACCTGAATTCTCTCATATCCTGCTTAGTGTCACTGCGGATGTTTTCTGATCATCTGTAGAACTGTTAAATCCTTCTCTCTGATCAGCAATCATCAGCAATCCTCTGATGTGCTTCATTATACCTCACAGTGCTTGTTTACTTCTATCTTGTACATTGCGTTGGGAGTGCAGGGCAGAGGCATCTTCCCAGTAGGAGGGAGGGGATGTATTTTGTCCAGGAAAAAGTGGTCTCTGCTTCCTTACTTATGTTCTTGTTTTGTGTCTTGCTGTTCTGTAACAGCAGAAGGGAATTAAGAGTGGCCAGGTGGGAAGGGCTAATTCATTTACTTGGGCAGAAAGCTACCACCATGAAGGTTTGCATTGTGCAGCTGCTTTTCATGGGTTTAAGAGAACCACATTTTCTAAGAAAAAGAACAGGAAAAGAACTGAAAAGGCCAGGGAGCTTTTCAGTAATGACTTATTTCCATAGTAAAGAAGAAATTCAAAAACACTGCAGGTTTTTTTTTTTTTTTCCTGCTAAGATATCTTGGCATAGAATGTAGGCCAGAGTGAGGGTATAAAAGGAATTATCAACAAGAACAAGCATATTTCACAAACTTAATGTATAATTGTTTTAGTGTATTTCTAGAGCAGGTCTGAGCAGATATGAATGGGGATTTCACATGACTTATAGTGCAACTCTTATCAAACTGTCATCTTTCCCAGTTCTCTTCCAATGCTCACATCACATAGAGTACAAACAGAGTGATACCTCCTTGATGGATGAGGATGCTGAGACGGGAATCTGGTACATGCTGAGTGAGACAAAGTGGAACTTTATGAACCTTCTCTGTTAGAATCACAGGTTTTTTGAAAGGTCTGAAGTCATGTACTTCCCATGTGGAGCCTGCATTGCTCAAGCAAAGGGAAGACTTTGAGTGTTTCAGCCCAGAGAACTTGAAAAATGCAGTGTTTCTGTTCTTAAGCAGTTTTTATAGGTCAGATTTTCATTAACACCATTAAGATGTTTAATCTCATTTCAGCCAAGTGTTCCTGTTGCAAAGTGTAGTAATGCCAAAGGATTAGCATTGCAGCCTGCAGGCGTTAACTTCTTCAGTGCCAATGGCATCACCAGGAATAGGAGCTGCGTCTGTGTGCACCTTCCCAGTGTGAGCCCCTGCAATGCCACACTTTGTGCAGAGCTCTCTGCCAATGTCTTGCTTCACAAATAAACGTCAACTTAGGAAGAAACATCTTTCTGCTAATTTCTGATTCCTAGCTAGGTGATTTATGCTACAGACAGCTTCAGCTTTAGTCTATCCCTGGGATGACTATTCAATATGTGAATTTTGTGTGGTGTTTTACTGTTGTTGTTTTTAAATGAATAGATCTTGTGCTATAGCTCAGCTTTAGAAGTGGCCAGATAGACTGTTCACTTGTCTCTAGCCACCCACACCAGTTGTTCACTGAGTAATCTTTAAAAGAAATGGGGTGCAGGCTTTCAGTTTTCAAGTAGCTCAAATAGTAATCATGCCGTGGATTATTGTTAGAATTAAAATGACAGAGGCTAATTAAAAAGAATGCTATTGCCTTTTAGGAAGAACAACAAGTTTAATTGGTAACATCCCAGACATGTTCTGCCAGAGTCTTCCTCTCATCTTTTCCTAACTGGTTTTGATTAATGTAATTTTAACAATAATTTCTCTGTGTAACTTGGCTTCTGTGATTCTTTCTGCCAGATTGTATTACTGTTCCCTACTTGATGGAGCTGTTTACAAGTGTGTCATTTTCAGAGTACTGTTGTGGGAAAGCACTGTACAGTTGCTACTACATAGTGTTCTTTTTACTAGCAAACAGATAATAAAAATTCAGAAAAACAAGGCAAAGAGAAAA